AAGTGTAAAATTTTGGAAAAAAAATTTCACGAACATTAATTGTCTCGCACAACGAGTCTGTGTGCAAAATGTCAGCTCGATTGGATCACGGGAAGTGGGTTAAAAAACGACCGAAAGGTTTGCACGGTCGTAAGCAAGCACGCAAGCAAGCAAGCGAACTTAATATAAAGGATTTAAAAATCCACGCGACCGCGGGGAAAGAGATAAGAAAACTTCAAATACAGCAGGGTCGGGATCGAACGCACAACCTCATATATACCAGGCGATGGAGTTAACATCTCCTTGCCACCGTGTCGCCCCTCCTTGGTTCTGCTCTTACCTCTCAAACCTCTTAGGGGCCGTCCATAAATGACGTCACGTGACTTTGGACGATTTTTGACCCCCCCCCCCCCCATCGTCACACGGCGTCACAAAAAGTCAGACCCCCCCTCAAATATGACGTCACAAAGTTCTGCCCCCCCAAAAAAAACATGCTTCAAATCGCTTTAAACTATTGTCATTGTAGTGCGCATGTAATGTGGAGCTGCACTCTGATGTTGTAGGAGAAAACATTTAGTAAAAAGTCTATGTAATTAAGTAGAACGTGTTGTCTATATTTATTTAAAGTTGCGCATTTTGATGTGACGTCACATTTCTCACCCCCCCCCCCCTCGTCACGTATCGTCACAAATGACTGACCCCCCCCCCCCCCGCCTAGGTGCGTGACGTCATTTATGGACGGCCCCTTATCTCTCTTCTACAATCCGACAAGGGCACTCTCTTCCTCGAGGAAACCCTCTGTGTTATGGTTTCCCACAAGGCTCCATCCTTGTCCACCCCTGCCCTCCACCCTCCACTCTTCAAAACTTGTCTCCTCCTGCTCGGAAAAAAACAAACTTCTCAATTTTGTTGTTGTTGTTAAAACTTCCTTTATTGGGGCATTAGAAAGCAGGATAATGTGTATAGCTGCTACTGAATAATGCAATTTATTAACTTTCAAATGTGGAGTTGTCGGATAGTCCCCATCTTCATCAAGTTACAAGCTTGAATCTGCTTCGGTTTATTTTTACTTAAACTTGAGAAGATAAACCAGGCAAATGGCCGCATGGTTTGCACGTGTGGCGTCTGCCGATGAGGCTGTTAAGTGTTTAAATATCTGTAGATGCCTTTGAACTGGTTGCTGCACACCAGAGTCGTGACCGGCCATGGCGACACCTGGGAAGTCTCTTCAACTGCGAGGAGGAGGAGGTGGAGGAGTAGGAGGAGGAGGTGGAGGCGGTGGCATCCTTCTGCTGAATTAGGCGAATCCTCAATCGTCTCTATTTGAACGTCGACCGTCGTCGCTTGCTCCTCCGCTCGTGAGCGCCGCGGGGCTCCACGTCGCCACTGGCGCCGCGAGCCCAGCCCAGCGCCGTGCGCTCTCACGCGCTGCCTCCTCGGAGCGGTCTCCTAGCGGCTCGGTTCGAACCTCCTCGAGGCAGCGTTGCCAGGCTGAGGCACTTCTCGTCGTAGGAACGTCGACAATAGACTTAAGACTCACCGGCTTCAGTGAGAACCTCCCAAATGCTGACACTGCACTGGCAAAGAACGCGCGTAAGCTTGGGGTTGCCATTGATCCCATCTCTCATTCTCTCCCCAAATATCACAACCCTGCTATGTAGCTCTCTGTCAGAAGCAACCGGGTCACAAATGATAGCCCAACGAAGTGGCTTATCACGTGGACATGTATAGCAGCCACATACTCTAAACGCACCTTTCTCAATGCGGAGGGAGAAACCGGAGGACCTGGAGAAAAATCTGTGGAACCACGATGAGAGAGACATGCAAACTCCAAATATACAGCAGCAGGCGTCAGGGTCGTGATCGAACGCACGACCTCCTGCATACCAGGCGAGGGAGTTAACATCTCGCCACCGCGGCGCCCATTACCTCTGTCGTTGCGAGCATTCCCTGCCTCCAATTCCTCACCCCAGCAGCAGCTGCTGTGGCACCCTGCCCCTGTGCCTGCAGCCACGTGCCGTTTCAGGCAACTGCTGGCGGAAAGGCCTCCACTAGAGGGAGCCCTAGAGAACCCTTCTAGAGAGGGTGTCTTGGCCTACTCTTTCACACTGGCCAGACATCCTGGAAGAGGCTGCGAGTTACCACAACCTTAGCCCAACCAAATGCAACCTAAGCTGCGGTCTGACCCACCACTCGCGCCGCTCTGGGGAGAGAGAGAGAGTGAATGTGACCGGGGACCTCTGCCTGGGTGTGCTAACAACCGTGACGTCACGGCAGCATCCCATTGCGTTCAGCGTCAAATGAGTAGTGCCGAGTGTGAGGGTGTACGATGGTGTGATGATGGTGTGAGGACCGTCTGCGCCGGTGGTCTGCGCTGCCCGAGCTGCCGCTGCCCGTTTGTGCTGCACCGCTTGGGACGCTCGCTAACAGCCCTCGCCCTAACGGAGGTCCGCGAGGCTCAATGAGGGAGCTTTGTCTTGTGCACGGACACCTCCGTGGCCTGCGGATGTTAATAAGGGCGCGCAGAGGACACATTAGGCGCGGAGATCACTCTCGCCGCTAATGACTCCGAGATGTATGGCGTGTATTAAGGGGTCGGTGGGGCGGCGGTTAGCGCGCTGAGTCAACGATCCGGGTCGCCTCGGTTCCATTTCTTTGACGAGATCCACGACATTTGGTATTGCTCTCTGTCTGAGGCCGGCTCGGGAGGAGAGCGGTGTCGCCGGAGGAAAGCCCACGGAGTGGTGGGGAAGGGGGACGACACCCTGCCAAGAATCGACACGTGTGAAGTCGTGCACCCACTTTTTTCCGACTGCAAACGCTTGGCCACTGTGTTTGTTTTGTGTGCAACTGCACCTGCCACGTGCATGTGCGAAGCCCCACAGCGTAGAGCCCTCTGTCCTCAATGTGTGCGATGTGCTGGTTTTGTTGTTGTTATAGCGACAATGTCACAAACTAAGCATCATCGCTCAGTCGTGGGCCAGCCTGGCTCGAGAACTCAATACGCGCAACCAGAATTTGTATTTATACTGGAGGAGGAATCCGATGAGCTATAAAGCTCTTTTTCGCAGATGTCCAGCAAGGGGCAAGAGGTCAGAACGTTACAACAACACAGGGGGGGGGGGGGGCTCGCGTTTGTCAGCCGGCCTGAGATCGCGGCGCAAATTCCACATTCCTATGACAGGCGTGACGCCTCTCAGCGTTGCTGTGCTTGGTAAATGATGCGTCCGTCTTGTCCTTGACGAGCCAGTCGCTACAAAAAAAAACGTAGCGCGCGGCTCGGCTGCTATCAGCGACCAGAGTTGTTTTGGGGAAAAGATTGCCAATTAAACACTTGGAAAAGTCATTTTTGTATTTTAACGAAAGAGATTAACGTTACGCTTTGTGCCAGCAGCATGCTGAGTGCACGCGCGTTGTTTCGCGTGCGCCAACGCAAATTAAGATAGAGATGTGGTACCCGTTCGTGCGCGCATGGCACAAAAAAAAAACATTAACTTTGGTGTCTCGTGCGTGTGAGTGTGTGTACGTGGGGAGCGGTGGTGCAGTGGTTAGCGCGCTGCGCTCTGACACCCAGCGGCGTGAGTTAGAGCCTGCTCACGGCCAACACAAGTGATGATTATCTGAACCGGTCATGGGCCTCCCCTAGGTCGATTCAGCCTTAAATGAGTACCTAGTTGTGATGTATAAACATCGCAACGAGGGAGACAAAGGCGGCCGGGCGTGCTGATGCCGACTCATCCGCTCGTGTGCCATGCACAACACATATTGCAAGTTCCTTACAGGTGAATCACATGCTAAGTGGCTGATTACTGATCTCTTATATAATTGCCTCTGATCTCGAAACGTGATGGGGTTCAACAATGATGACGTCATCCTGCACTATTTAGACCGGACGCAGGTGGCTGGCTTCACTATTCTGGCAAATCGCCCGAAGGTGCTGGATGTAATTTCCAGCGAAACGTCGTACAACTCAAATTGTAAATGTTGTGTTTTCACTCTTCAACACACCGGTGGGCTGAAGTAGTGAGCTCTTTGTCTTTCGTCAAGGTGACACATTTTTAACTGATTGACCCTGTCGGGTGGTGGAGGGTTGCGACACATTTATAAATAACGCGATCTAACCCAATACCGTTGTTATGAATAATACTGGTCGCCAAAGCCTACGTGTTAAGTTGAGAATATTAATTCAATTTTTGTAATTTTCTTTCCTTTCCTCAACTCCTATCGGTTTTTTTCGTAGTGTTGTTTGTTGTTGTAACTTTCTAACCCCGTACCCCTTTTACTGGAGGCGTGTGAAAAAGAGCTTCATGGCTCATCGGATTTCTCCAGGGTGAATAAAATAGTAAAACACTAAACATATTCTGATGCATCTTTCAATTGTAACGTGATGCGGTAGAAGGCCCAGTTAGACATTGAAGGGTGGAACGGGCCCCATGGCGCCATCTCAGAGATCGGATTTGAGATCCCCGCTTGAGGAATTCGAGATCTTCCCTCTCAACACACCGACTCGACAGCCAGTTTTGACGAATTGCGGTTTAGCTGATCGCAAGGCAAAGCTATATTAAAGTTTGGCTGTGATTATGGTAATTAAATTGCATGTTTAGTGGATATCATTGAATCTTTATTACACGTTGGTTAAACACTGCGTTGCGCGTAATCATATTTTGATTAGCTGCATTAACAGATTATATTTGCATGCGGCTGTCCAAAGCACTTCTCGTTAATCCACGTACATGCCTTGCTCGCAGCGACGGCCTGATGTAGGTACACGCGTATCGTAAGCAATGCATTGGCATTAATGAGCATCCGTCTGTGACACATGAAGATATTAGTTACTATTTATATTGTCTCATTAAAAACGCTTTATTTACACATACGCTATGAAACCATTAGAAATTTATAATTTGAATCATAACTTTGAACGAATAATTAATTAAAAATAATGAATTCCGCGATTGTCAGCAGATTGTTTGAGGATTTGGTGGCGGTGGCAAGGCTCGCACGTCACGGCAAGAAGAGGCCTCTGTTCGATTCCCGACTTGGGCGCCTTTCGTTGAGACGTTCGGACGCCGTCCCCCTGTTACTGCTTGGGCTTCCTCCAGCTTCTCCGCTTCATAACTAAACACACACACGCACAGCGTTACTGGTGTTTGCCAACCATCCAAATGCTGGAATATTTCCTAAAAACTACTAAATTTGAATTACACAACAGCAGCAGCAACGTCGCCCACTCCTGCGAAAACTTGGCAATACCCTTCTGAGAAGGAGTCTTGAGACTCTTGCTTGGATAAACGAGGAAAATAAAATGTAAGATTGTTTTTTTCCGTGTGAAAATAATTTCCTTTGGAATTGTTTCTACTCTTTGCGCATTGCCAATGTCAAGTTCTGCTATCCGCTGGCGGGCTTCGGGAAAGAGTTTGTGTAGTTTTACTGGTAGGAACCTCCTGGTTACACCAGCCCACAGGGGATTATTGTGTCCGTCCGTCGTGCAACCAAAAATGGGAGGGGTGGGGCTGGGTGGAGAGGGTGGGGAGGGGCTGGGTGGGGAGGGGAGGGGAGGGTGGGGAGGGTATGGGTGGGGAGGGTGGGGCTGGGTGGGGGATGGGGCTTGGTGGGGAGGGGCTGGTCACCCCGTGGTGATCTTATAAAACTCAACGTTTCACCTACCCACGCCGGCTTGTGCCCGCCCTCACAGACGGCCATATTTGCGGAATACACCACGCTGTCGTTGACCCTGGCCATTGACCGAGCAACCCAACGTTCCTACCAGCTCCCTCCGCAGGAATGTGTTTCTATTCCACCTCCGTCGAAGGAGAACAGACTGCAGAGATTTACTGCGTGGTCCATAGTTTGGGTTGCATGGCCATGGTCGCGTTGTGTACCGTGGTTCGTTTTACACTCACGAAGGAAATGATCACAGCAGCCTGGTGATGTGCTGATGCGAGTGATGGTTAAACGAGCGTCTGCCAGAAGTGTCAAAGCCAGGAGGTGCTGATGATGTTTGGGTCTCGAATCAGGTGGTCATTGTGAAGGTTCGCATTGTTCCATCCTTCGGAATGACCTGTTGGAAAACACACATTTTGTATTATTGGAGCATTGCATATCATGTTTACTATTCTTTAAACAAAGGTTTTATGCACGTGGCTGATCTCAGAGCACCTGTTGAAATGTTAATTGTCAGACAAAGACATTGATTGACCTGGCTTTACAGGGCATTATTGTTGATCCCAATTCATTATTAATCATCCGCAGCAGCACCAGCCATTGTCAATCCACTGCTGGATGAAGATCTCTCCACAACGCCGTCGCCTTCCCACGTGGTCCAGTGCTCCTCGCGTCCGCCTTGCTCCCGCTCGATCTCGTCGCTGTGTCCGCGTCGTTCCTTCTCTTAGCCGCGGCCTCTTCACCACCACCACCACCACCACCGGTCTCTTCCGTCGGCCACTGTCCCGTCTCGCGATGTGTCCTATCCACCCCCCCAAGCACATTTACTCGTCTCAATTGCGACGAACTCCGGTTACCCTCTGAGGGATTTCCTCACCCCCACCCTGCCACCACCTCCGGCGACAGGCAGGTGTTAATCACCACTTCTCTGCCGTTAAACTCATTTGGCGCGTCCAGGTTATTTTGTTTTGGTGGATTTGGTTCTGTGCACTCCCCTTCTCTCTCTCTCTGTCCCCTCCACCCCCACCCCTTTTTAAATCCTTTATATTAAGTTCACTTGCTTGCTTGCGCGCTTACGACCGTGCAAATCTTTCGGTCGTTTTTTAACCCACTTCCCGTGATCCAATCGAGCTGACATTTTGCACACAGACTCGTTGTGCGTGACAATTAATGTTCGTGAAAATTTTTTTCCAAAATTTTACACTTTTTTTGATTTTTTTTTATATTTAATTACCAATTGCTTATTGGTGGCAGGCAATCATCTGACCCATAGGTGGCAGCCATCTCAAGCCAGAGGACGAGAGGACTCTAGCCGCCCGTTTTAAAGACCAATGTGGGCTGGGTTGTGGCCCATTGAACACGCATATAAAGGATTTATAGTGAAAAACTTTGTTTTTACGGGTTAATTTTTTTACCTTTACTTGTGTTCGTCTTCCGCTGCCTCCTGCGGTGGTGACGAGATATTAACTGCCTCGTCTGGTGTACAGGAGGTCGTGGGTTCTGACGATGCCTGTAAACGTGGAGTTTTGCGTGCCTCTTTTCCTGTGGTCACGTGGATTTTTCTCCGGGCCCTCTGGCTTTTCCCTCCACATTTAAAATCAACGTGCATTTAGAGTATTCGGTTGCTATTTCTTCCCACGTGATACGCTACTTCGTTGAGCGATCATTTGTAAGACCAGGTCGCTTCTGAAAAATAACTCTATAGCTCAGTGGGCCTTACCTGTTACATTTTGTACGAATAATAAAAAAGCCTTTCCTCCCTCGTATAATAACCTACGCTCCCGCTCGCAGTCCCTCCGTGAGCAGAGCAGAGAGCCCAACATCCTCCTCTTCCCAGAACCCAGGAGCGCTGAGTTCAACCTGCGGTCCACAGAATGTCTCTCCCCCCCCCTCCACTTGTTACAGTTTGTTCATTGTACCGGGTTTTTATCAAAGTAAATAAAAATAAAAAATAACACTGGTCTCTCGCGTTCACAACCCAGTGCGCTCTTAGCACTCCACCACTTGCTCCACCCGCTAGGATTTCATGCAGAAAAAGCACGTCCGATGAGCACGGTTGGCTACGTGCGGTGCGAAAGAAGTTCAACGTTCATACATGCACACATCACAGCCCACAGAGCAACGTTGTTGTCATGCGCACTTCGTCTACTGCATTCGCTTGGACACTTGCCACTCGGACGCCCAATAAAGAATAACAATTATAAAAAAAAAATTGTAACAAAAAAAAAACCTACACATATAGCAACGCGATAGCGGCACCGCGGTTTCCAGCCTCTCGCATCAGCGGACAGAAGAGACAGCCGCTGCGGCCCGCTTCCTCTTCCCCAGCGCGCCGGGAGTGGGTTGCGAGCGAGCATTGAGCGGCGTCTCCGCCACCGTCGTGATGAACATGCCGGGAGTGGGCGGCGGCCGGGGGAGGCCTCGCGCCGCTCCCCCCCAAAACGGGGGGCCGGAGCCGTTTGCCGGGCAATGTGAATAATTCATCGCTAAACCACTCTCCGGATGATAACGCCGCCCTTGACATTGTTTTTAGATGCTCTTCCGTGTGTTAAAGGCCCTCAAGGTGATGCCGGCTGCTGCTGCTGCTGTCGCTAGCGAAAGATTAAACCCCGCGATGGATTTTTTGTTATTTTTTGGGACATTGAGTGGCCAATGGCGGCGGGCCAGTCAGCTATAAAGGCAAAGGTGGCCGGCTCTGCAACTTGCTCGCTCGCGCTACTGTAAGCAGTCGCGCCTCCACTAGAGGCATTTGGTCTACTCTTCCACGCTGGATGAGGTTGTAGCACCCACACCTTACTGCACCACGCACGGCCTGTCGACCGACTAACTGTGGCCAACAGTAACTGCAGGGATTCACATTCTTGGTTCTTTCGGTAAAGTCACGTAGAAGAGAAATAATAAAATAATATAAATATAAAACAATAAAAATTCTCACGACGTTTCGACTGATGATTGCTTGTGTTGCAGTCGAAACGTCGTGAGATTTTTTTATTGTTTTATATTTATATTATTTTATTATTTCCCTTCTGCGTGACTTTACCGAAATAACCAAGAATATGTGGCCAACCGGTGTATACTGCTCGGGGTGGACAGAGGCGCGGGGGGTGATTCACGAATTAAACCGCAGACCTCTGGAATTTGAATCCGGCATAGCTGACCGTTCCACGTGGCTCTCTAGGACTGACCATGACGTTACGTGCCGTCCGTACGGTCAGCGGTGCCGTCATGTCGGGAGTCGGCCAGACGCTGATGCAACAATCGGCGATTGAGAGCAATGAGTAAAAACACTTTGTTGAGTTTTTTTGGAAAACGTCCCGATAACGTCCGAGCAACGCTCCATCTCGTCAATGCGATGATGGCATTGACGGCGTCGTTTTCTTTTTTTTTCGCGGAGCGCTGTTAATACCAAAGGGTCCTGGAGGCGTTCGACTGTTCTTAGAAAATAACAAAATGCAAATATTTGGATGAATTAACAATGGCGAGTTGACATTAATTGTGAATAATTGGAGGTGGCTCGGCAGCTCAGGGAACTCATAATGGCCACGTTCGAGCACTGAGATGGAACCACTGAGATTATCTATTTATTTTGCTATATTTACATGCGTGTGTCTGTATAATTTCCTCTCTGTGCAATTATCTATCTGACCAGGTGCGGGGCCGGGGGGGGGGGGGGCAGGGTGAGCAATTTGCCCCGAGGCCGCAGATCTTAGGGGGGCTGCTAACAAATTACGGAGGGGACTGGCCTCAGGTGAGGCCTCATCTGCCTTTTTGCCCCAAGCATTCAAAAGCCTTTTTTACGGCCCTGCGCAGATCTGAGTTAGGGGGTCAACTCATGCTGTCGTCCCTCTCTGGTTGATAACACCACTTTGAAAGACGCCAACATGGGGGCTAGCCCGTTTTCACGGACCGGCCTTCACCATAGTAACGTGGAATCTTTCACTTTTGGTTCAGGACCTCACGGTAAGATTAGCTCCACTCCATGATTTCTGAACTGTGCTGTTGCCGTCTGTGGCGTAGCGCGGTTAGCAGGGGGGTGGAGGTGCCTTGCTCCACCTCCGATTAGCACGGTTGGCTACGTACTGTGTAAAAGAAGTTCAACGTACATACATAGAACAAACGACATGGCAACCCCGTACAATTGCCTCCTCCTATTCGTAGTCCGGCCCCTGGGCCCCCCTCCAGCCCGTGGGCTCCAGTGCAGTTGCACCGTCTACCACGGACGTGCGCTCAGGGGAGGGAGGGGAGGCACAGCCTCAACTGCCATAGCTTCAATGAAAATATCTGGTACGAAAAGTACAAAATTATAAAATAAAATTAAGATTTTTTTTTTTCCCCACCGACCTGTGTTATGTCATTTCTGTACGATTCCAATCATTTGTGGCACATTAGGAATGGACCACTCTTAACGATTTCCTCGTGCAGCAAGGAGGGAGTAAAGTGTGGTTTTGTGAAAGTCCTTACGTGCTGCGCAGTACATCAATGCACGTGTGTACACCAGCGTGCGATAACTGAGTTGGGCCTGTGGGTGGCTGTCAGGGTTATTGACGAACCGCACTTGTACACCAATCATGTGGTTAATGGCGACTCGGTTGAGGATTGCTGTGTGTGACACACGTGCTGTTGCATCTTACAGATTAGCCACAGTAAATGTGTTTGCCCTCGATTTGGAGCACCTGCCCACGTCCTTCATTTCGAGTGTGCAACACATTTTTAGAGTCAAAATCGCCAAATTTGCGGAGCTCCGCTGCAAACGCAGCGAGAGACGAGAGGCGTGGAGGCAGCGACGAGTTCAGCCTCCCCTCTGATTGCGCAACCCCTCAGACACTGGATGGAGCGCGGGCAGTAAGCGCGTGCCTGTTACTATCTTTCTGTAATGATCGGAATCATACAGAAATGGCATTTATAACACAGATCAGTGGAAAAAAATTTCATTTTTATGTCATATATATATATGTTTTTTTTATTTTCGAAACAGCTATTTTCATTGGAGTATGCCAGGTGAGGCTCTGCCTCCCCTGCCTCCCCTGACCGCTCGTCCCTCCTGCCGCGTACTCACTCGACATCTCCACCTCAACGAAGGAATTATCGAGACCGTCGCGAGAATTTTCAACGCAGCAACCGGCGCGAGTGCGAATCGAGCGCCGGAGTCGTGGACCAACCCCGGGTTCGAAATCCTCGACGTCGCTTTTGTTTGCACGACACGGACTCTTCTCCGACCGACGCGCGCTCGTGTGGTGAGGAACTTTATGTGCCGGGGGGGGGGGGTCTCCCCCAAACCACCCCACCCCCCCGACTGAGCCGGCAAAAATGAGACTTGTGACTAAGAGCACGGAAATAAAATGTTTAAAAAAAATCCCAGATGGCGTGGGTTGTCCCGCGTCTGAGTGACGGCTCGTAATGACCGGGCGATCGTGCTGCTGCAGGAGACTGGGGGGAGGGGGAGGAGGCGGCCGGTCGCCGTGGCGATGGACCAGCGCGACGCTCTTGACGGGAGACTGACAGCTATTTAATTGAGATTGCGTCCGCGCATTGCGAGGCGAAGTTGTAGTGATAGAAGAAGAATGCAAAAAAACCCACACAACACACACACACACACAAGCTGGAAAACCAGTGCATTCGGTGAGCGTCGTCTACGATCTCCCCGCAGCCCGATGCTCGTGTCTCCAAACTCCGAATCATCCTCAAAGCCCCTCCATCGGCCAACAAATGACTCTGATCGCTCCACTAGCGCCCAATCCAGTCCCCCGCACAAATGTCAAGATCGCATTCAACGTCTTCCTCTGTCTCCCTCTCCCCACTCATCTTACTCTACTCCCCTCCACGCACTCTCCTACATCTCCCCTCTCAGTCTC